AATTAAATGAATTAATTAATTAATTCATTTAATTCAATTAATTCATTTAATTCATTTAATTCTGTAAATGGACTGGGAGCGGCCGCGAGGGGGCCGGATTTAATTCATTTAATTCATTTAATTCCGGGCTGGGGCCGCAGAATTAAAAGAATTAAATGAATTAAATGCGGACCGCCCCTCAGAGATCCCCGGCCATTTACAGAATTAAATGAATTATTTGAATTAAATCAACTAATTAATGAATTCATTTAATTCATTTAATTCTGGGCTAAGGCCGCGGAATTAATAGAATTAAATGAATTAATTAATTAATTCATTTAATTCATTTAATTCTGGGCTAAGGCCACGGAATTAATAGAATTAAATGAATTAATTAATTAATTCATTTAATTCATTTAATTCGGGGCTGAGGCCGCGGAATTAATAGAATTAAATGAATTAACTAATTGATTCATTTAATTCAATTAATTTATTTACTTCATTTGATTCTGTAAATGGACTGAGAGCGGCCGCGAGGGGGCCGGATTTAATTCATGTAATTCCGGGCTGGGGCCGCGGAATTAATAGAATTAAATGAATTAATGGGGGTGTGGCCAAATAGACCCCAAAGGCCCTGCTCTCATATATATATATATACATATACGCATGTATGCCCCGTATATTCTACGTGTTCAGGCCCCATAAGGAATGCTTCTCATTTCGGATTTTTCGAAGTCGTTGCCTTTGCTGGTCTATAGATGCCCGCCTCTGGTCGCCAAATGTTTAAGGACAGCTGTATCCGAAGCTCGACTTAAACTCTAAATGAACTGCTCTTGACCCATCGGTTTAGGGTTTAGGGTTTAGGATACTTTTGGTTGGATTCCTTCGTTAGGTTTTCTGCAGCATCGCGGACCTGTCTTCGGCGCAAAATAATGACAGAAGTACTTACGTACGTTTTCCTGGAGCCAGGTTGGTCCGTGGAATGCAGAACCCTGGGTTTAGCAGTAAAGCCCTTCATCCTTGAATGCGGCGGCGAAGAACCAACCTACAGTCTCCATTGTAGCTGCTTTTTTGGGTTGAACCAATTATAGATTAGGGACTTCATAAGGTATCCCCCAAAAAGGAACTACAATGGAGACCATAGGAAATCTCAATGCCTAGTGAAGGACTCGAGTTTTACATGAATAGAGAGGTCACGAGAGGGAATGCTGTGGACCAAGGTGGCGAGGTTGTAGTACAACGTGGCATCCCTTCTCTGTTTCTCGAGCGGGGATGTAGCTGAAAAGAAAAGTTCATGAGTCGGAACCTCACCATTTTAAGCAGGCCACCAGAATTAGGTAAAGCCTGCCGACATTTACTAGGCTCACCCGGTCACGCCAATGCAGTTCCTTTTGGAAAGTTGATATAAACTTCTCTTTAGGATAGGACGGATAGGAGCCATGTTGGAGAGCCCAGGTAGAGTGTATAAGATTGATCATTTCGGGTTGAAAGCTCAGGGCGTCTTGGCAAGCAATATAACGCTTGAACCCTGCTAGCTTGCCACACAAGATCGGCTTTTGCCCTAAACCCTAAGCCCCTAAACCGTTACACAAACCCTAAACCCTAAACCCCTAAACCCTCACAAAAACCCTAAACCCTAAACCCCTTAAACCATCACAAAAACCCTAAACCCTAAACCGTCACACAAACCCTAAACCCTTAAACCCCTAAACCCTTACAAACAAAAAAAAACTAAACCCCCTTGCGGCCTCCAGCCACCTCAAATACTCACCTGGGGCCAGTCTCTCAAAAAGCTCGGGAGCCGACTGAGTCGGAGAGTCGGACGGGATCGGGGTGTTGATGGGGGTGTGGGGTTTGGGGTTTAGGGTTTTTTGGGCTTAGGGGTTTAGGGTTTAGGGTTCATAGGGTTAGGGTTTTAGAGTTTAGGGTGAGTTTAGGGCTTACGGGGTTTAGGGTTGGGGTGGGTATAGTCTAGGACATTTGCAGGTGGATAGTTACCATTATAGGAGCCTTACAGAAGGTCTGTATACCTATTAATTATAGAAGCCTTACAGAAACCCTATATATATATACACACACACCCAAACTCCCCACCTGTAGTTTCCTGTAATATAGTGATAGTGAATGGGTTAAGGATTGGGACCTAGGTTTCCAGGTTGTGGTCTGTGGTTCAGGGGCTCAGAGTTTAGGATTTCGGGGTTTCCGAAAATAGGGGGACCCTATATCGTACCCTAAATAGCAGGATCCTTATTATAAGGACCCCTAAAATGAGGTACCCCTAGTTTTCGGAAACTCTAAACCCTAAACCCTAAACCCTAATATAGTACCCTAAATAATAGGGACCCCTAAAATAAGGTACCTCTTATTTTCGGAAACTCCCATTTGTGAGTTAAGGTCTGGATCGTCCTCCCCTGCAGTCACTGCTACGACTTCAACAAACCTTCAGATCAGCTCCCAAGACATGAGCCTGAAACCACAAAGAGAGCTTAAACTTAATAGGGTTTAGGGTTATAGGGTTTAGGGGTTTAGGGTTATAGGTTTTAGGGTGTAGGGGTTTAGGCGTTTTAGGGTTTAGGAGTTTTAGGGTTTAGGGTTTAGGGCTTTATGCTGAATGCTTCCAGCCCAGGATCTGCATAATGGACTTGAAACCGAAAAGGCGAAAACCTTGCAGCCCCCAGCCCTGCGCCCCGAATCATTACGAACAGCGGGGCAGATCCCGGCCCACGTGGAACGGCTGCATTTAGGTCGAATGAATGAGAGCCTTAAAATTAAAATCCAAACACCTCCAATCCAGGAACAATGCCTGCCCGAATTCATTGCTAACCTAAACCCTGAACCCTAAACTCTAAACCCGAAACACTGAGAGAGTTGCTACATACCTAGAACTAAACCCTTCCCCTGAATCCTAAATCCTAAACCCTAAACCCTCCCCCCGAACTCTAAACCCTTGAGCTCCCAACCTTCCATCCTCCAAACCCAAACCCTGAATCTTCGCTGTGATTCGAACCCGTAAACCCTAAACCTCCATAAAAAAAGCCCTAGTATAAGGGCCCAAATGCTTACCTATACCATTTTTTTTTTGGGGGGGGGGTCCTTATTATTCTAATTATTAAAGCCCCCAACTTAAACCAAAAGCCTTGCCGTAAACTCCAAGCCCTCTGCGAGGCCCCCACCATCGGCGCCAAAATGGCCGGCCTTTAACCAGGAGAAGTGGCCGTCGCCTACATGGTCTCTGATTGGTTTTTGGGGGTTGAGGGGTTTGGGATCCTTTAGGGTTTGGGGTTTAGGGGTTTAGGATTTACCTGGAACCTCTGGGGCCTCCTTAA